CAGCAACAGCGTCTGCGCCTGCGTCCCTGCGTGGTTCGACTTTGTTGCGTCCAGCATGGGCTGATGGGCGTCCAGACCGTTACGACCACCGCCTACAACAGCACCGACGCCAACACCGACCCACGCCTACGCCTACGCGAGCGCCGACGCCGGAGCCTCCGCCAGCGCCGACGCCGGCACCGACGTTGGCAACATCCGTATCGTTGGTCTTGTTGAAGCGTTTTTTTCGGATTTACCGGCCTATCCGCGATTTCACGGCGAAACCATCAAAAGTTACGAGGATGGACTGGGCTTATGGGGTGGTGTCTGGGCCACTCGCAGGTGCATCGTGTTCATGTACATCGGATTCGCCGCCTGGCTTGGGCCAGCTCGTCCCTTCCCCATTCTCGGGGCTCCACTCCTCCTCCCCATGTTTCCTTCTTCTCCTGTTTCGGTCGGTCGCGTGTGTGCTGGTTGATCTAGTGCAGACGGGCTCTATTTCCAGTTCGGGGCGCCCGCCCACTCAGAAGCCTCTGCCCCTCCGTTCCGCGGGGGTGGACGCCGCTGGTGGCCTCGGAGCGCCACGGACGTCCTACCAAGACGCCCAGTCATTCGTGCTCCTCGCTCCCGATTCGGACTGGCAGTGCGGTCCGAGTGTGGATGGCCCGCCCGCGGAGCCCTTGGCTGTGTCCTGGCGTCCATTAGATTTGGTTTCTCCAGCGCTCTGTCCTCTTCTCTTCGCGTCTCTCTCTCCCTCTCTCTTTTTCTCTCTCTCTCTCTCTCTCTTTTTGTATCTCTCTCTCTCTCTCTCGCTCTCCCCTCTTTCTTCTGACCTTCGGGCTGCACTGCGCTGGCTGCGCTGAGTGAGGTCCCGCACGTCTCGCGGTTCCTCCTCCCTCCTGCTGCGCCTCCTTCTCGGGCCAGTGGTTTATCTACTTTTGGCAGGGGCCAGGTTTTAAAGCTGCCGGCGTGTGGGGCAGTCAAAATGTTGGCGGCTTCGCTGCCCTCACTCCTTCCTCGTCGTCCTTCTCTGCTCCTCCTCCTCCTCCTCCTCCTCCTCCTGCTCCTGCTCCTGCTTCTTCTCCTCCTCCTTCTCCTCCGCTTTCTCCCTCGCTTTCCTGTGGAGTGCAAGCAGTACCTGTCGCATGCTCGCCAGAGCAGTGTTGTCACTGGTAGTTGCGCTTGGTTGCTAGCCTTCTCTTCTCTTTGGCAACGCATGTGAACACTTTTCGCGGCGTTCTATGCAAACTGGGTGCGTTCGGCTGTGTGGCAGCATCCTTGTTTCCTGGGAGGAGAAAAAATCTCGGGGGCCTCGTGGAGGCAGTTTTGAAGGCTTTGGGGGGGCCGTTTTTGGACCTCTTTTGGGCCTCGTGGGGGCCTCTTGGGACCTCTTGAGGGACTCTTGGGGGCCTCTTGGGGGCCTCTTGGGGCCTCTTGGGGGGGGGCCCTGGGTATCTCTTTTCTTGGGGTGGGCCTCTCGGGCCCCTCTTGGGGCCATCTTGGGGCCCTATTGGGCCAGCTTGGGCGCCTCTTGGGCCGTCTTGGGGCTCTCTTGGGCCGTCTTGGGGCCTTGGGGACCTCTGGGGCCGTCTTGGGGCGGTCTTGACGGCCCCGTGGGACGTCCTCGGAGAACCTACAAGAATTGAAAACCACAGGAGAATCCATGGTTTGGGCCTCTCGGGGCCATTTTGGGGAGGCTGTGGGGTGTTTCAGTCGACTGGAGGCCATCTTGGGCGTCTTCTACCGACTGTTGAGCGATTCGGGTCCCTCTTGAACCGTCTTGGGGGCCTCTCGGGGCTCTCTTGGTCCGCCTTGGGGCCTTCGGCCCGGAGAAGTCAACGAAAAGACGCGCCGGGGCCCGGGGGGGCACGCGGGAAGCCCCAGAAGATTTGAGAGTCGGGGTCTGGGACCCTCGGGGGGACCTTCGGGACTGAAGACTGAGGCGGAGGGGTTCCGCAAGGGACGGGGACCCCGGGACACTCCACTTCGTGCCACACGGGCACGGTAGCGGAGATGATGGTGATGATGATGATGATGGTGATGATGATGCTGCTGATGATGATGCTGATGATGATGATGATGAAGATGATGGCGATGACGATGATGATGTTGACGGTGATGACGATGGCGAACATGATGATGTTGATGATGGCGATGATGGTGGTGATGGTGATGATGGTGCTGTTGAATATGATGATACTGATGATGGTGATGATCATGATGATGATCATGCTGGTGGTTGTGGTGGTTATGGTGATGCTCTTAATGGTGATGATGCTGCTGATGCTGGTGATGGTGAGTATGATGATGATGATGTTGACGAGGATGATGCTGCGGATGACGGTAATGATGATGCTGCTGATGATGACACTGATGATGATGCTGATGATAATGCTGTTGATGATGATGGTGCTGATGCTGCTGCTGATGCGGGTGCTGATGCTGAAACCGATGCAGTTGTTGATTCCGAATATGTTGATGATGCTGCTGATGATGAGCCTGTTGCTGTTGTTGAGGATGATGATGACGATGATGATGACGATGATTGCGATGATGCTGCTGATGATGATGACGATGACGATGACGATGAGTATGACGATGATGATGATGGCGATGATGAGGATTATGCTGCGGATGACGGCGATGATGCTGATGATGCTGGTGAGAATGACAATGATGGTGATGATGATGATGATGATGATGATGATGATGATGATGATGATGCTAATGATGACGATCGTGGTGGTAATGATGATGCTGATGATGATGATCATGATGCTGATACTGATGATGATGTGGTTGTTGTTTTGGATGATGATGCTGTTGATAAAAATTATGCGGCTGGTGATGTTGACGATGAAGATGATGACGATGACAATGATGATGATGCTGATGATAATGGTGATGGTGATCATGATAATGATAATGATGATGATGATGATGATGATGCTGGTGGTGGGAATGATGATGACGACGATGACGAGGATGATGCTGCGGATGAGGGTGATGATGTTAATTATGATGAGCATGGCAATGACTATGCTAATGCTGGTGAACATGACGATGCTGATGATGCTGATGAGGATGGTGCTGATGATGATGATGATGACGTCGTTGTTTTTGATGATGCTGCTTCTGATGATGCTGCTGATGATGCTGATGATGATGATGATGCTGATGATGCTGATGCTGATGAGGGTGGTAATGATGACGATGATAATGATGATGATGCTGGTGCTGCTGCTGCTAATGATGATGATGATGGTGGTGATGATGCTGATTTTGATGATGATGACGATGATAATGACGATGCTGATGATGACGCTGATTATGCTGCTGCTGATGATGATGATGATGATGAGGATGATGATGATCATGATGGTGCTGATGCTGCTGCTGATGCTGCTGCTGCTGATGATGATGATGCTGATGATGATGATGATGATGATGATGATGATGATGATGATGATGATGATGTATTAGTTGGAGGGTGATGAGGATGAAGAGGAGGAGGAGGAGGTGGGAGGAAGGAGGAAGGAGGAAGGACGAAGTAGGAAGAAGGGAGAAGGGAGGGAGAAGGAGGGAGCAGGGAGCAATTAGGAGGGAGGGGGGCGGAGGGAGGAGGGCGGAGGGAGGATGGCGGGAGGATGGCGGGAGGAGGAGGAGGAGGAGGAGGAGGAGAAGGATAAGGATATAGAGGGGGAGGGGGAAGGGGAGGAGGGGGAGAAGAAGAAGGAGGAGGATGATGAGGAGGAGGAGGTGGGATGAGCAGGAGCAGGGGAGACATGACTTGGAGGATTGGAAGGGGAGAAGAGATGGTGATGGGGTTGGGGTTGGGGATGGGGATGGGGATAGGGATTGGGATGGGGGTGAGGTTGATAATGATGATGATGCTGATGATGCTGAGGATGATGATGCTGATGATGGTGATGATGACGACGACGCTGATGCTGCTGATGATGACGATGATGATGATGCTGATGGTGATGATGCTGATTATGATTATGAGTATGACGATGATGGATGGCGATGGTGATGGGGATGGTGATGGTGATGTTGATGGCGATGGTGATGATGATGGGGATGGTGATGGTGATGGTGATGGTGATACTGATGGTGTTGATGATTGTGATGGTGATGGTGGTGGTGATGGTGTTGGTGATGGTGATGGTGATTGTGATTGTGGTGATTACGATGATGACGAGGGCAATGATTGCGATGGTGATGGTCGTGGTGGTGGTGATGGTGATGGTGATTGTGATGATTGTGATGGTGATTGATGGTGATGTGCTGATGTGATGGTGATGGTGGTGGTGATTGTGATGGTGATTGTGATGGTGATTGTGATTGTGATGATGATGGCGACGATGTTGATGAGGATGAGGAGGTGGAGGAGGAGGAGGAGGAGAAGGAGGATCAGAAGGAGAACGATCACGAGATTGATCAGGACGAGGACGAGGAGGAGGAGGAGAAGGATGGGCAGGGCTCCGCCACGCCGCGCCCTCACGAGGCCAGGCAGCCGCTTCTCTGTCATAGCTACTCCGAAGAGGCATCTGCCGCTGCCGCCCTGGATCCCGACCCCTCGCGAGCAACCACCCCCCAGAGGCTTCTGGAGGCCTCCAGAGGTCCAATCATGGGAAAGAACACTCAGCAGTGTTTTTTTTGAAGAGGAACGTCCAAACATGGGACACGACGACTCTCAGGCTCAGGTAGAGGGGCGTCCAAAAAGGGGAAACGCGTTCAACTTTTGCTTTGAGCCCCCCGATCCGCGAGGGTCGTGGGCAAATTCTTTGATGGCGATTTCCGCCCTGCTTTGCCGTCGCTGTTTCGGCCAAGTTTTGAGGCATCGACTTCCGCCCTGACGTTTCTCACCTTTCGGGGTGCATTTCTAACACGATTTTGAGTTGGCAAAATAGCCAGAGCACGGCGGACCCAGAGTCAGGGCGATCCTCGAGGGTCGAGGGCAAAATTTTCCATTCGGCTGTCGTCATCCTTCCCCCATGCCCGGCTTCCTTGCAAAGGCCAACGAGATCACCGGTTACGGGTCCGCGAGCAGTTCATGCGCGGCGGGCAGCTCTTTCCTCCAGAAAGGCCAGAAAGGAGTGAGGAGGAGGAGGAGGAGAAGGGAGGGAAGAGGGAGGAAAGGATGATGAGGATGTTGTTTTTTGTTGATGATGATGAGAAGAAGAAGAAGGGTGAGGAGGCTGAGAGATGAGGAGGGGGGACGGAGGACGGAGACGGGAGAGGAGGAGGAGGAGGAGGAGGAGGAGGAGGAGGAGGAGGAGGAGGGGGAGGGTTGAGAAGGAGGAGCAGGAGGAGGAGGAGGAGGAGCAGGACCATTATAAACCCATGGCGCATCAAAGATGCGGCAGTACACCCTCCCTGCAAGTCACCTCTTCATAGATCCCTATAAGGTTGTGTTATGATTTTGGGCAGCGCCCAATTGAAAGACAACCGTCTGAGAATCCTCAATCGTGCCGAACACACAATTCCTAGAACTGCTGCATCCTGCCAGTCCTAAACCGTGCCTGCTACTGCATCCTGCCAGTACTAGACCGTGTCATAACACCATTTCTGGGACTTCAATCAACACCACGAGCCAACGCGACTCTTACATTCTGATTTCCGAAATCGTACCAGAACACCAGCCCTGGGTTGTCAACCGCACAAATCCCTGAAGCTGTTTTACTTGTTCAAGACGAAAGTGCGCGGCGCTGAGGTGATAGCCACATTTTGAGAACGGCCAGCCCTCCATCTGTGAAAATGCTGCAAGCTTTCAGACCAATGTGCGCGACGCTGCGGCGAGAGCCGGAGCTTTTCAAATGGCCCGCCCTCCATCCGCGAAGCTGTTGCAGACTTTCAAACCGAATGTGGGCCGCGCTGAGGCGGGAGCCACGCTTTTCCAACGGCCCGCCCTCCATCCGTGAAGCGGCTGCACATTTCAAGCTTCGAGGTCACAAGTGGTTAGAAAGTCTTGGGTGCAACTCCCGACCCGCCCTACCGACACGTTTGGGGATGCGACAGGGGTGAGTCATTTGCGAGGAAAAGGGACGGAGGAGGACCGTCGCCATTTGGCTTCAAGTTTTTACCCCCCTGCCGCGAGGGCCTGCGCAGCCGCACGACTCACTGCCCCCCGCGGCGGCGCGCCCCTCCGAGAAGCTGTGGCGCCACCTCACGGCCGTGTGCCGGCAGCGCTGCGCGAGCCTCCCGGCCTGCGGCACCAGGCCCTGCGGCTGCGGGCCCCGGGCCCCGACCCCGCCGCCGTCCCCCGGGCACCGCGCTCCTGCAGCCTGCCGCCCAGCCGCAGTGTCCCCGCTGCCCGCCCTGGGGCCGCGGGCGCGGCCTCCGTCTCTCCGGCGGAGGCGCGCCACCGAGCTCGGCGAGGGCGAGCGGCGCCGTGCACCCGCACGCACCCTGGGCCGGGCGGCGGAGAGGGCGGGCCGTGCCGCTGCCGCGCGGTCCCGCCACGAGCCCGGAGCCCAGCGCTCGCCGCGGGCCACTCGGAGGGCCCCATCGCTCGCTGCCGAAGCCCGTTTGCTGGCGTCGCGCCGCGCCACGGCGGGAGCGGAGGAGGATGGGGGGGTGAGAGGGTAGGGAGGTAGAAGAAAGGAGCGAGGAGGAGGGAGGAGGGAGGAGGACGTTGGAGGCGGGAGGAGGGGGCAGGAGGGAGGATGGAGGGACTTGTCGTGGCGGCGTCGATGCTCAGGAAGGCCTCGAGCGTGAGGGTAGCCACCCAAAGCTTATCTCTCTGGAAAGTGGGATGTCACCCTCTTGTAGTTGCAGAGTCGTCCCTGCCGCGTGATAATATTGCTACGGCCTTATGACTAGTTCCAGGCTAGCACCACGGCGACCCCCGCATGCAGCAAGACAACCCCCACTCGTATTGGGTAAGTTTGATGCTGGCTTCGCCAGCTTATTCTTCGGAGACGCATTCAATGCCTTCGTCCTGTGTAGCCCTCGGACGAAGCCACCTTCTCGGCAAAGTTCCACGTTATTCGTGGCTGGAACCTGCTGCTCTTCCGCGGGGCCACTGCTCAAGCGCATTAGGATGAGGCGGCTACGGGCGATGAACCTCTCCCCTTTTGTCAGAAGAAGTGCCGCCACCCGCGCATGGGCGGACGATGCTCGTGTGGCCGACAAGGGAGGTGCGTCGCAGGTGGGAAGGCCTCGGGGTAGTGCCCGCAAGAAGAGCGCGGGCCAAGACGCCTGAGTGGAGGAGGCTGAAAGGGAGGAGCTGTTGGGCCTGTCGGAGAGAGCCTACTGAGTGTGGCGGGAACCTGCGCAAGCTGCGAGGGTGTTTTCTTGGGGTCAGCCCTCAGACTTTTGTTCGAGCTCTGGGCTCCGTGATGTTCAGGGGTGTCAACCCCGTGCTCTGGGCTGCAATGGCAGATCGGCCGGCGGGGCCATTTTGATACCTTGAGCGACGTGCCGATTGAGACGATCATGGAGTCTTGCATGGAACCTTGCCTTGAACATTTCACCTGGTCTTCTGTGTGTGTGTGGGACATCCCTTCACCTGCTGACGGATTATTTAGCATTGATGATGGTCGAACTGTTGATGATCGTCGTACTTCAGGTCCTTCCAGAGCGTGCTTCGTTTTTCACGCATCGGTGATTGTCTCTCCCGCTCATGATCAACGACTTGACGAAGCTTCTCTGTGTTTGGTAGGCTGAGGAAGGACATTCTTCGTCAGAGCAGGCCAGAGGGGGCGAACGCTGCACCCTCCAGATTAGGAGTGCCGCAAAGGACGTGGAAGCAGTCGAAACGTGGGTAAGCTACGCTTCTGCATCGCCAGCCAAGGATGCATGTATCTCATCAGTTTTGTCTTTCGTGCCTCGGGACTCGTTTTAGAGAGGCACGCGCGGCTGGTCCTTGCGAGATGCTTCGGCTTGCTGTGAGAGTGCATATCGGGTTCCCGCAGGCCTTGGCGATAGGCTCCTGAGCACCAATTCGCAGTCTGCGCACATGCTGACCCGATCGCTCGCTGGAGTGACTTCGATTTCTGGCCAGCGGCTGGCTTTCGTGTCAATGCCTGCAGAGCATCCCGATGGCTCAGCGCAGGACCCCCCGTGTTCCTCGCGCTGCTCCTGCCAGGGTGCGTAGTCCCTGCCCCTGCCGCCATCGCCAGCCGGGTGCCCGTGCGCGGCGGGGCGAAAAGCAGCTCGCAGGCCCAGACCTTCCGCAGGTTGATCAGGGCCAGCATTTTCACTGATCCGAGGTGGACGCAGATATCGTTGCAACGCCTGGTTCTACATCTGCATCCTGATCGAACTAGGGCGTGGCGGTAGTGTGCGATTAGGATGTTTTCGTTCTGAACTTGCAGTCTTCCTGTTGCTTGCACTTCATTGCGCTTTGGTCGTGATCGCCGCTTCGTCGTCGTCGTCCCCGACGTCGTGCGTCGGCGTCGGCGTCGGCGTCGGCGTCGATATCTGGAGGGCTCTGTTCTGCGGAAGGTCTCCTGAGGTCCCCAGATCTGGGGACCTCAGGAGACCTCGGGAGGCCTCCCGAGGCCTCGAGGCCTCGGGAGGCCTCCAGAGGTCCCCGGAGACCGCAAGAGGCCTCCAGAAGCCCCTGGAGGCTCAAGAGACGCCCCCAGAACCCTCCAGAATTTCGAAGTTCGTCCAGCCGTGGCGTCAAGAAGGCGCTTGGCACGCGGAAGCCCCCAGACGATCGAAGTTCAATCTTTGATCGTCGTTGCCGTCGCTGCCCTCGCTGCTGTCGTCGTCGCCGCCGCCGCCGCTGCGTCGTCGTCGTCGTCGTCGTCGTCGTCGTCGTCGTCGTCGTCGTCGTCGTCGTCGTCGTTGTCGTCGTCGTCGTAGTCGCCGCCGCCGCCGCCGTGGGCCGACGTCGCCGCTTCCGCCGTCGTCACCGCCGCTGCCGCCGTCCTCGCGCTCCCGCCCGCCTTGGCGCGACCGGCGGCGGTGCCAAGCCGGTGGGGGCGGGCGCGGCGGCCGAGGCGCTGCGGCGGCCGAGTCGAGGCGGCTGAAGTGGTGCGCGGCGGCCGAGGAGGAGGAGGCGGCGCGCACGCGGCAGGGAGCGACGCCGTCGTCGGCGTCGCCGTCTTCGTCGCCACGCTCGTCGTCGGCATCGTCGAGGGCGTCGTCGTCGCCACCTTCGGCGTTGTCGGCGTCGTCGTCGCTGCAGCGTCGTGGCCGTTGCAGTCGTCTTCGTCGTCATTGTCCGCCCCCTCCTCCTTCTGCTCCTCCTCATATTCTTCCCCCCCCCCTCCTCCCTCCACCCTCCCCCCGTTGGAGGAGGAGGGCAGGGAGGGAGTGAGCCAGGTGGAGAATGTGGGAGAAGGAGGATGCGGGCTTGGGACGAAAAGGGGAAGGGACAACAATAACTGCATGAGAATAATGCGTGCAGACACTTCCGAACTCGAACGCATGCCTTACGTGGTTGCTATTCGTGGCCGGTGATTCTTACGTATGCCAGGCTGAGGCCTGGGACAATGCTTCCCTCAATCCTTTCATTGCACGGGCGCTTATCGAATCTACCGTCATGAAAAATACGGATATGGATTTTGTCGTTGGGCGTGATAGGACGTCTTTCGTGTGGAGTTTCTGTTCTGAGGTAGAGGTGCGCAGAGGCTTTGGAATGAGCATCAGCTGAAAAGGGCACACATCTGTCAACTTGGCGAGGATATGTTGTCATATGCAAGGGGTTACTTAAAAACTTTTTCCCTGAGCTCGCGCCGCGGACATGTCACTTACGGCCGGCTTTTTCTGTGGGCACCGCCTCTGTGGGTGATGGGAAAAAAGTCAAGAACACACACGCATGCTTCCCCAATCAGAGCTTGCCTGGAACCCCTTCGGATGGTTGTTGGGCGATTTTCCAGCCTCCCAGGCGGCTTCGGGCGCCCAGAAGACCGCCGTCTTGAAGCGTCGGGAAGCCGAAAAGAGGAGAACTCCCAAATTCACCAAAACCCAACCAAAAATCATTGCGGGATCTTGTGGGGCTCTTGGAAGCTCTTTGGGCCTCCTGGGGCGATACTCTTGGGGCCTCTTCGGGGCCTCGTGGCAGCTTCCTGGGGCTCCCAGGGGCCCTCTCGGGAATATCTGGAGGCCCTCCTGGCCAGCTCGCGGCCCTCGTGACCTGGGGCCCCCAGGAGCCCTCTCGGGAATGTCTGGAGGCCCTCCTAGGCCGGCTCGGGGCCCTCGTGGAAGTCTGTCGGGCCGTCTTAGGGCAATCTGGGGGGCCTCGTGGGCCGTCGACGAGCCTCGGGAAACAGAAAAGGAGAGAACTCCGAAAGGCACCCAAACACCACAGAAAATCAACGAATTGTGCCTCTTGGGGATTTGTTGGGAGTGCTCTTGGAGGCCTCGTGGGACGTTTTGGAGCGATATTTGGGGGTTTGACGGCTTCATTGGGCTTTCTGGTGTCGTTTCGATGGCGCGCCAGAGCGCCTGAAGCCCTCTGGGGCCGTCTTCGGGCTCTCGTGGGGTGCTCCCTAGAGGTACTGGGTGGGTGAAATGCGTTAGGTGGGGGGATCTTTTGGGACTCTTGGAAACCCTTTGGGCTTCCTGGGGGCCTCTGGGGATCCTCTTGGGGCCTCTTCGGGGCCTCTTGGGAGCCTCCTGGGGCCTCGTGGGGCTCTCGAGGGAACGTCTGGATGCCCTCCTGGGCCAGCTCGGGGCCCTCGTGGAAGTCTGTCGGGCCGTCTTAGGGCGATCGGGGGGGCCTTGCGGGCCGTCTTGGCGCCTCGGGACGCCGAAAAAGGGAGAACCCCGAAAGGAATCAAAAAACAATATAAAATCAACGAATTGTGCCTCTTGGGGGTTTCCGGGGAGTGCCCTTCGAGGCCTCGGGTGACGTTTTGGAGCGATTTTTGGAGGTATGACGGCTTCGTTGGGTTGTCTGGGGTCGTTTCGGGGGCGCGCCAGAGCGCCTGGAGCACTCTGGGGCATCTTCGGTCTCTCGTGGGGTGCTCTCGAGAGGCCCGGGGTGTGTCAAATTCGTAAGGTGGGGGCGCTTTTTCTGGGGTCCCCGGCGTTAGGTGTGTGTGTGTGTGCGTGCGTGCGTGCGTGCGTGCGTGCGTGCGTGCGTGCGTGCGTGCGTGCGTGCGTGCGTGCGTGCGTGCGTGCGTGCGTGCGTGCGTGTGCTGTGTGTGTGTGTGTGTGTGTGTCTGTGTCTGTGTCTGTGTCTGTGTCTGTGTCTGTGTCTGTGTCTGTGTCTGTGTCTGTGTCTGTGTCTGTGTCTGTGTCTGTGTCTGTGTCTGTGTCTGTGTCTGTGTCTGTGTCTGTGTCTGTCTGTCTGTGTGTGTGCTTTTTCCGGGGTCCCCAGCCTTATAAAGATATATGAATAGGAATAAGTGCTCGTGTGTGTATATAGATGTATGTATACACAGCTATTTCTATAAGGCCGGGGACCCCGGAAAAAGCCCCTCCCCGACCTAACGAATTTGGCCCACCCTGGGTCTCTCTGGCAACCCTCCAGACGACCCGAGAGAACCCCCACGAGAGACCGAAGACGGCCCCAGAGGGCTCCAGGCGTTTCGGCGCGCTCCCGAAACGACCCCAGAGACCCCCAAGACGGTCTATGACGACCCCAAAGAAGCCGTCATACCCCAAAGATCGTTCCAAAGCGTCCCAAAAGGTCTCCAAGAGCGCTCCCAAGAAGGTCCCAAGATGCATAATGCATTGATTTTCTGTTGGTTTTTGGTGAATTTGGGGGTTCTCCTCTTTTCGGCTTCCCGACGCTTCAAGACGGCGGTCTTCTGGGCGCCCGAAGCCGCCTGGGAGGCTGGAAAATCGCCCAACAACCATCCGAAGGGGTTCCAGGCAGTCCAAGAGAGCTCCAAGACGGAAAGAACGTGTTCTACCGCTGCTGGCGGAAAAGGGGTGGGGGTCACTGGGGGTTCCCAACCCGTCCTCTTCCCCCCTCGAAAACTGGGGGGGGATCACTGCCAGTTCGAACCCCTCCGCCCCACCCCCCAGTCCATCATGAAAAGGGGGGGGGTTCACTACCGGTTCGAACCCCCCCCCTCGAAAACCGGGGGGGGTCACTACCGGTTCGAACCCCCCCCCTCGCTGACAAACGATTCCCGCTCCTCGGGACAGTTGGGCAATTATGGGGATACTGGGACAGTGGTAGGAACGGCGGTGGTGGGGACAGTGGTGCGGGGACAGTGGGACAGTGGTGCGGACAATTGTGGGGACGGTGGTGGTGGGGACAGTGGTGAGGGGACAGCGGGACAGTGGTGGGGGCAGTGAGACAGTGGTGGGGACGGTAGTGGTGGGGACAGTGGTGAAGGCGGTGGTGAGGACAGTGGTGGGACAGTAGGACAGTGGGGAGAGTGGTGGGGACAGCGGGGACAGTGGGACAGTAGTGGGGACAGTGGGGACGGTGGGACAGCACAGTGGGACAGCGGCGGGGACAGTGGGACAGTGGTGGGTACAGTGGGGACAATGGGATACTGGTGGGGACCGTGGGTGAAGTGGGGAGAGTGGGACCGTGGTGGGACAATGGTGGGGAGAGTGGGAACAGTGAGACGATGGTGGGGGCACTGGTGGGGACAGCGGGGACACTGGTGGGAACAGTGGGGACAGTGGGACAGTGGTGGGGACTGTGGGACAGTGGTGGGGACGGTGGTGGTGGGGACAGTGGTGTGGGAACTGGGGACAGTGGGACAGTGGTGGGGACAGTGGTGGTGGGGACAGTGGTGAGGGCGGTGGCGAGGACGGCGGTGGGACAATGGGACAGAGATACAGTGGGGACAGTGGTGGGGATAGTGGTGGGAACAATGGGACAGCTCAGTGGGACAGCGGCGGGGACTGGGACAATGGGAAAGCGGGGACAGTGGGACAGTGGATGGGGCCGTGGAGGAAGTGGGGAGAGTGGGACCGTGGTGGGAAAAGTGGTGAGGGCAGTGGGAACATTGCGACAGTGGTGTGGGTACTGGTGGGGACAGTGGGGACGGTGGTGGGAACAGTGGGGACTGGTGGTGAGAACAGTGGTGCTGGGGACAGCAGGTGGGGGATGTGGTGCGGACGGTGGTAGGGACCCGGGAGTCGTTTGCCGGTGGTGAGCGTGGGGGGGGGGGGGTGAGGGGTTCGAACTGGTAGTGACCCCCTCCGGTTTTCTGGAGAGGGGGGGATTCGAACCGGTAGTGACCTCCCCCGGTTTTCGGGGGGGGGTTCGAACCGGTAGTGACCCCCCCCGGTTTTCGAGGGGGGGGGTTCGAACCGGTAGTGGCCCCCCCCCGGTTTTCCAGAGGGGGGGGAGTTCGAACCGGATGGTGTTCCGGAGGGGTGGGGTCGAACGGGTAGTGACCCCCCCCCGGTTTTCTGAGGGGGGGGAGGGTTCGAACCAGCTACCTTCACCGATTTTCCGGAGGGGGAACGGGAGTTCGAACCGGTCGTGACTCCTTTTGGTTTTCTGGAGGGGGGGGGTCTCGAACCGGTAGTGACCCCCCGCGGTTTTCCGAGAGGGGGGGGGGGTAGGGAAGCGGGGTTTTGCTAGGGGGAAAGGGGGGGGGGGGGCGGGGGGTTCCAGGGGGGGGGATTTTCGGAGGGGGGGTGGGACCCCAGGGCTACGGAGGAAGAGGGGGGGAATTTTCCACAGTAAAGCGGCGGTGGATCACGCTCTATCCCAAGACGGCACAGCAGGGTTGCAAGATGGCCTCAGAGAACGCCATGACGGCCCAAGATGGCCCCAAGACAACCTCCGAAGCATTCCAAATCGTGACCCAATTGTTCAGGGAGGCCGCGGTTGGAGGCAGGGCGGCCCGAGGAAACCCCCAGAGGCCCCGGCCCCCAGAAGACGCCCAGGAGGCTCCAGAAACTTCTAAGAAAGCTTGAACAACTTTTGCGAGGTCCCAGAGGCTCTCCAAGGAGAAGCATCCGCAAAAAGAGCTGAGGAGGATGGGGAGAAGACGCAGGGTAGGGCGAGAATGAGGAAAAAGAAGCATGGAGGAGTGATAACGAAAAACATTATTATAACGGCGATGCAGGAAAAGGCAACAAGGAACTATCGCTAATTGTCGGCTTGCCCTTCCTGCCATTCCGCCTGCACCCCAAACTTCAAGGACCAAGATGCATGGCGCGAAGCGCCAATACAGTCTTGTGCACACACACATATTTATACATATACCTATACGACCACCCTGCGGGTGATAGGGAGGTTGGGAGGGGCAGCAATGGGCAAAAATGGTGATTGTTGTTCTGACGATGCCTGTGGGGCGGAGTCTAGTGAGTAGTGCGATTGTGCACGTGAGCGTGATGTGATGTGGCGATGTTGGTGAAGCGCACTCGACATTTTCGTCAAGCGCTGTCCCCGCGTGCGCTTATAAATCGCGCGAACCTCACCTCAGCGCTAGTCGACGTGGTCGAACCGGCAGATTTGCATGTCGGTTAGCATGTTGGTTTGTGTGTCTTCCAGAAGCGCTCGGTCTGCATGTCGGTTTGCATGCAGACTTGCATTGGATAGCTCGCCGCAAGCGGCGATGTTTTGAAATGCGCAACCCACGGCGGGACACCGGCGGGACACCAGCGGGACACCGCGGTCCACCGTTTGACGGGAGGAGCATCATTTGGTCCGGCCGCGGCCCAGCCACAGGAGGATTTCGGGACACCAGCGGGACACCGGCGGGACACCGCGCGCCACCAGCCGCCGGAGGAGAATCATTTGGTCCAGCCGCGGCCCAGCCACAGGAGGATTCCGGGACACCAGCGGGACACCGGCGGGACACCAGCGGGTCACCAGCCGCCAGAGGAGAAACATTTGGTCTGGCCGCGGCCCAGCCATGATTTCGGGACACCAGCGGGGCACCGGCAGGACACCGCGGGCCACCCGCCGCCGGAGGAGAAACATTTGGTTTGGCCGCGGCCTAGCCATGCAGGAGGATTTCCTCTCGCCCGCCCACGCAGCTGCGCCTCGCCCGCACGCGCGCACGGCACGCACGACACGAACCCGAAACCGAAATCGATTTCCCTGTAGCGGGTGTCTCCGTTTCACGTCGGACTCACACCCCAGCCTCCGAGAACCGCATGCCGATGATAATAAAGGACCCCCCTCTTTCCACGCTAGAGTTGATTATCCACGGCCAAGAAGAGTTTGGTGAGGGGCGCGGGGCGCGGAGGCCGAACTTTTTTATCACTGTGAAAAGTTCACCTCGAGGTTAACTTCCTTCTTATGTTGAGATAGCAACACCAAGCGAAGCGAAGACGTTTTCGAGGATGTCTCAAGCGAAACCAACATTTTTCGAGGCAGCCTCAAGCGAAACGATCAATGTTTCAATGATGTCTCAAGCGGAACCAACAATTCTTCGAGGATGTCTCAAGCGAAGCGAGAGACTTGTCGATGAGAGACTTCCTACTCTTCCTCCTCCTCTTTCGCTTTCTCTTTTTTTTGTTTCTCTCTCTCTCTCTCTATCTCTCTCTCTCTCTCTCTCTTTTTGTCTCTGTCTCTCTCTCTCTCTGTCTTTCTCCTTCTCCCCCTGGCCCCCTGAACTTCTTTATCGCTGAGGTTTACTATCCACGGAAACCGAGGCACATGAGGCACCCACCCTACACGAGCAGATGAAATCTTAATTTCCGTTGTTTGTTTACAACTAAAATCTATTAGGTTTGGAACTTTGTTTTTTTTATCCTCCTCCTCCTCCTCCTCTGTCTCTCTCCCTCTGTCTGTCTATATTTCTCTACTATATGTATCTTTATGTCTCTGTCTCTATCTGTCTTCCTCCTTCTCCCCCTGACATCCTGATTTTTTGCGTTAAAGAAACGCTGTGGTTTACTATCCACGAAAACCGAGGCACGTGAGCTACCCTACACGAGCAGATGAAAATCTGAATTTCCATTGTTTGTTTACAAATTAAATTTAATAGGTTTGGAACTTTGGCGTTTCTCCTCCTCCTTCTCCTCCTCTCTCCTTCTGTCTGTCTATCTTTCTCTACTTCTCTCTCTCTCTCTCTAACTGTATGTATCTTTCTGTCTCTGTCTCTCTCTTTCTTCCTCCTTCTCCCCCTGGCACCCTGGACCTCGATCCTCGATCTTCGATCTTCGACCCTCGGACCTCGATCCTCGATCCTCGGACCTCCCCGCCATCGATCCTCGGACCTCGATCCTCGACTCTGGGATCTCGATCCTCGATCCTCGGACTTCGATTCTCGATCCTCGATCCTCGGCTTTCGGTCCTCTTAACATCATCTCTTTCTCCTCCCACATGCTGGCATCCGGTAGGCAACATTTATAATCCCCCCGCGACCCCGAGCTTTATTATCCCTGTGGGATTATTCTCCGTGGTGCATGGCTATATATATGTATGTATGTATGTATGTATGTATGTATGTATGTATGTATGTATGTATGTATGTATGTATGTATGTATGCATGTATGTATGTATGTATGTCTGTGTGTGTATGTATGTATGTATGTATGCATGCATGCATGTATGTATGTATGTATGTATGTATGTATGTATGTATGTATGTGTGTGTATGTATGTATGTATGTATGTATGTATGTATGTATGTATGTATGTATGTATGTGTGTGTGTGTATGTATGTATGTATGTATGTATGTATGTATGTATGTATGTATGTATGTATGTTTATATTTATGAGTATATGTATCCTTCCCCACGCAGTGCTTGTACGTAGGGTTTCTTTCTTTTGTTATGAGGAGCTGGGCCGTGTCTTCGGTCTGGCGGCTATGTGGCCGCCGTCGCCGCCCCGTCGCCGCTCCGTTGCGTCCCGTCGTCTGGGCCGTGTCTTCGGTCTAGCGGCTTTGTGGCCGCCGTTGCCGCCCCGTCGCCGCTTCGTCGTCGCCCGTCGTCTGTGCGCTCTGGCGGCTATGTGGCCGCCGTCGCCACCTCGTCGCCGCCCTAGATTGAACAGCATAGATTCTCCGTTCTGAGGGAGAATTCGGATCTAGCCCCCCCCGGGGCTAACGGTCTACATCTTCGTATTGCAATTTGCATATGATTCTGCCCCAGCGTCCATCCACATGAAGTCATACCATCCCAGGCAGGTTTCGGTTTTCCCGTTTCATCCTTTGCAGCAAATGCTATGCGCGCGCACTCGTTTGCCAAAAGTCATGAGTTTTCGAGAATCCCTTGCGAAAAATGGGATGAAGTGCGCGCGCGCGCGTCGTCGCGCGCATGCCGAAATCCTTCACAAACCTTAGGTGTTGTAAGCATTTCAAAGCCGAGTGCCCCGAAACCATTCAACAACACACATGGTTTCGCACTACGTGTTTTCAAAAAAACCTGCGCCTGCCCCTGCGCCTTTTTTGTCCCAGCATGTTCGTGCATGTTGAAATCGCTCGAGCGCCCTTGCGCGCGTGTTGTCGTAAGAGTCCCTTACAACAAAATGGGACGAAGTGCACGCGCGCGCGTCGTCGCGGGCGCATGCCGAAATTCTTCAACAACAACTGTGTGTCCTAAGGGTGTCAAAAACGTGTCCCGAATACATTCTTTGCAAAAAAGAATCACCAGGTTTTACATCCTCATTTGTCAAACAATGCCTGCGCGCGCGGCCTTGCGGAATCTTCGGCAAACCATCGGTTTCCCAACATGTTCATCACATTCTGCCAAGCGGGCCTCTCGAGCCGCATGTCGAACTCATTCGAACACCCTTGCACGCGTGCTGGCGGGGGGCACGATCTGTGACAAATCATACCGCTCTGGCCACTCGCGCGCGTCGGCCGCGCGCGCATGTCGAATTCCTTCAAAAACCTTCATCGCCGACGCGAGGGCTTTGTCCTCGTTATCGGCGGGCGTGATCAACGTCGGCGCCGTTATTGGCCTTGCCGTCGTCATTGCCACCATCGTCACCATCGTTGCTACTCTCATAATCGTGTCTACCCGTGTCGGCGTCTCCATGATGACACGCCCGTCTAAGTCACCGGTTCGCACTGAATTGCGCTCAACCACGCGCAGAGGGGGGTGAGGGGAGGGGGGAGGACTTTTTAGAAGCACCCTGCTTCTTAGAAGGCGCGGGCCTTATCTGTAGATGCAGGGCCGCCGCCTTCTAAGAAGCAGCCTCCTTCTAAGAAGCCCTCCCCCCTCCCTCCACCCCCTTGTGCGCGCCGCCAAGAAGTACCCAAGGGTCAGCGCCACCGCGGCCGCGTCGGCCGCGTCAAACTAGCTGGCCGCTGTGCGCGCGAGCGTGCGCGGGCTGACGCGGCCGCAGAGATGCAGCGGAGCACCGCGAGAGGGGGCGAACAGCCGACCTCTCTCAAACGCCGCGCTGTGTGCGAGTGGAAGCGGCAGTGCTGTGTCAGCATGGCGCATGCTTCGTCTTCGCCGCGCCCCTCGGAAGTGCTGCCGCTGCCGCCCCTGCGCGGCCCGCGCAGTTTTCTCCTCGCCGGGCCGTCGGAAGCGGGGCGCCGCGCGAGCGCCTTCCCTTTGCGAGGGGGGGGCGCGCTCCAGCCCCGATCGCAAGTGGTGCCACCACTGATGCTTAGGCTGCGGGAAGGAGGGTGGGAGCAGGCGGGGCCCTCTGACTCGCTCGACCTGGCCAGCTTGACCTTCTACTCTGCCCCTCGTCGTCGCCGCACCCTGCAGGGAGTCCAAGGTCAGCACTCCTAGGCCTAGGCCGGGACTCTGAGGGAACCTGCAAGCAGAATTTAATCTGCCGCATCTTCGTACAATGCAAGCGAGCGGACCACACATCTCAAAATGAAATTCATTCGAATGCGCACAATCCGTGCCCACTGCGCTGTGCGTGTCCCTCTGCGCCCCTCCCGCGCCCCGCCCGTCCCCGTCCTCGCCCGTGCGCGCCAGCGCCGACGCAGGCGCTCGCCGTGTCCTTCGCGCGTGCGCTGCGCAGCGAGGACGCCGACGAGGTGGCGGAGATAGTCGCCAAGGTGCTTTTTTCTGGGGGCCGAAATCATAGCAGGAGAAGGCACCAACACCGCTACCCTTGCCTCGTTTTCGCATTTTTGGATATTGTTGGGCCTTCTGGGAGGCCTTCATCGCCACCGCTGGATTCGCCGTGAAATGACGGTAGGACAGCGCATCCCAGGAGAGGTCCGGGGAGTAGCGATATCGGTACCTTTTCGTTTCCCCACGAACGGACAGAAGGTGACACGCACATTGAAGAGGGATTGCGCGATCGGCGCAGGCAGACTGCGTCACATCCTCAGACATCGTTTCATGCCGAGTTCCTCCCATGAGTCTCAGCGGGAACGTGCCAGATGCCATCATCACTCGTGGTGGACGATGCGCAGCGCTTGCCATCGTGGTCCTGGCGGGAGGGACAGAGCTAAGATGGCCCAGAAGGAAGAGGAGGAGGAGGAGGAGAAAACTAACGGAGGGCAGAAAGGAGCCAATGAACAGGAGTCAAGGCATAGTCGAGTCGCCCCGCCCACTGCCACCCTCCCAGCAACATACGAACCAGCGACGGAACGTCGAACATCCCTCTTGGGACCGACGCGCTCCCGTGATCGCTTTCTTACTCATTCTTTTGCCAATCGGCGCGGACCCTCGCACTCCCCCCCTCCATGGAGTATTTTTTGTTTTTGGCGCATGTTTCGAGCAGGTGGAGTCTTCCGCACAGGACGCACGTTTGCAAACAGTCGCACCAAGCAGAGGTCCACAGCCACACCTCCCCCCTTCCTCCCCCCCCCTCTTCCGCCCACAGTCGAGACGCCGAGGAAGAAAATGCTCACCTCGCCCTTTCGCTCAATATCGAAACGCCGAAAAAGAAAACGTTCACCTCCACGCCGAATAAGAAACGTTCACCTCCCACCTGGCGCATGGACTTCGACTTCCAGCTATATGAGAACGCACCCCGGGAGAGGCCCAGGGAGTAGCGGTATCGTTTTTTTTGTCAGTTTCCCTGGATTCCTAGGAGTGCGGCGAAGACGAGGCACGCGCCGCGCCGAAACGACACCGCCCATCCACGCAAGCTCTGTCCAGCGTTCCTGAAGGGAACGGCACGATGTTCGCTTTCGCAGGGCCCCGCTGCCGCTTTCCCGCGACCCTGCGAGCAAAGAGCACGTGCCGCGCCAGAGCGGGAACGGCACATCCAGGCGCAAGTTGCACGGGGGCCTGGGCGAGGGCGACAGCGCGGCCCCGCCCGCAGCGATTTGGCGACTGAGGGACGTGCGCCGCGCCCAAGCGGGAGCGCCACTTTCGGGCGAACTCGGTGCGGCGCCGAGGCGATGGCAACACTTCGCCCCCTTGCGCGCGACCCCGTTGTTGACGATCTGGCAAGCGAGCACTACGGTCGGACCGAGGTGTAGGATCGAGGTCGTTTCGGGGAGGGGACCCTTATGGTCTTCGTGCTTGTTGAATGTTCTCGTGCATCCTGGGGGTGGTAATCCTCGAATGTTCTTCAGTTCGGCCAGCGGAGGGTCTCATGTTTTTGAAGGATGTTCTTCTGTCCTGGGTCCGGCCGTATGCGCCGCGCCCAAGAGCGATGTCTCGCCGTGTCGCGCGCGGTGTGCGCCCCGCCACGGTCCGCGCATTTTGAGCATCGACGACGCTCATTTTCAAAGGGAACGCGTCGACTGTAGTGTTCTTCGGGAGGGGGAGGCGGGAGTGGCCCGGATGAGGTTGCTATCGATTGGCTAGGTGGCAGAATGGAAGTACATGTCCATAACGAAACAATGCCAGCAGGAAATAGGAGGAACAGGAGGAGCGAATATGACGATGACGATCATGGTGTTAGTGATGACGGTGTTGTTGATTCATGATGATGATGATGATGATGATGATGATGATGATGATGATGATGATGATGATGATGATGATGATGATGATGATGATGATGATGATGATGATGATGATGATGATGATGATGATGATGATGATGATGATGATGGTGGTGGTGGTGGTGGTGGTGATGATGATGATGATGATGATGGTGATGATGATGGCGGGGGCGACGACGGCGACGACCACGGAGGCGACGAGGGCGGTGGCAGCGGTGGCGGCGGTGGCGGCGGTGGCGGCGGCGACGGCGGTGACGACGACGTTTCCAACATGTTCTCGGCGAGGTGCAGCTGTTGGAGGGCATCCCGAGGCGAGAAAACCTGTAAGAGCCGGCGAAACATTTCGCAAAGCGTCCGTGCTGAGTCTTGGAGGTCTAGGCAACGGCGACCGCGACGGGCGGCGGCGGCGGCCGTAGTTGCGGGCGGCCGCGGCGGCGGCGGCGGCCGGGTGGAGCGAGGCAGAGGCCGCGGGGGTGCTGGCGGACGCCGTGGAGGAAGCCCGCGGCTGGTTGGAAGGCCTGCGCCGCGCCGCGGCCGTGAGCCCCTCCGCCCTCGGCGAGGGCGAGGAGGCCGTCGAGGACCTGCGTCGGCGGCGACCACGACCACGAAGGCGTCGACGGCGATGACGAGGAAGACTCGTCGTCGTCGTCGCCGACGATGACGAGAACAGCGACAGAACAAGGTCGTCGCCGCCGACATCATCGTCGCCGCAGTCGCCGTCGTCGCCGTCGCTACCGTCGCCGTCGTGGTCGTCACCGTCGCCGCCGCCGCCGTCGACGTCGTCGTCGTCGTGGTCGTGGTGGTCGTCGTCGTCGTCGTCGTCGTCGTCGGCATCGGCGTCGGCGTCGGCGTCGGCGTCGGCGTTGGCGTCTTCGTCGTCGTCGTCGTCGTCGTCGCCGCCGTCGGCGTCGCCGCCGCCGTCGCCGTCGCCGTCGTCGCCGCCGTCGTCATCGTCGTCGTCGTCGCAGTCGTCCTCATGCCCGTCGCCGTCGCTGTTGTCGCGGCCGCCGTCCTCGTGGCCGTCGCCGTCGCCGCCGCCGCCGCCGTCGCCAACGTTGCCAACGTCGTGGCCGTCGTCGCAGGCATGGTCGTCGACTTCCTTGTCGTCGTTCTCGTTGTATTCGTTGTCCTCGTCGCCCTCGTCGTCGTCGTCGTCGTCGTCTTCGTTGTCGCCGTCCTCGTCCTCGTCGTTGTCTGTTGTCGGCGTCGTCCTCGTCGTCGTCGCTGTCGCCGCTGCCGCCGTCGCCGCGGTCGTCGTCGCTAAGTCGCCGCCGCCGTCGCCTTTGCCGTTGCCGTCGCCAGCGCCGTCGTCGTCGTCGCCCTCGTCTTCTTCGTCGTCCTCGTCCTCGTCGTCGTGCTCGTCGTCGGCATTGTCCTCGCCGTCATTGTCGTGGTCGTCGTCGACGTCGTCGTCGTCCTCGTCCTCGTCCTCGTCCTCGGCGTCGTCGTCCTCGACGTCCTCGTCGTCCCCGTCGTCGTCGTCCTCGTGGGCGTCGTCGTTAGTCGTCGTCCCGTCGTCGTCGTCGTTGTCGTCGTCGTCGTCACCGCCGCCGCCGCCGCTTCGGAAACCGCCGTGGTCGTCGTTGTTGCCGTCGCCGTCGTTCGTCGTCACCGCCGCCCTTGCCGCTGTCGCCGCTGCAGTTGCCGTGGCCGTTGCCGTCGCCGTCGACGCCGCCGCCGCCGCCGTCGTCGTCGTCGTCGGCGTCGCCGTCGCCGTCGCCATCGATGTCGTCGCCGCCGTCGCCTCCGTCGCCGCGGTCGTCGCCGTCGTCGCCTTCGTCTCCATCGCTGTCGCCGCCGCCGCCGCCGCCACCGCCGCTGTCGTCGACGTTCTCGTCGTCGTCGTCGTCGTCGTCGTTGTCGGCGTCGTGCTGCCGCCGCCGTCGCCGCGGTCGTCGCCGTCGTCGTCGTCGTCGCCGTCGCCGTCGCCGTCGTCGTCGACGACGCTGCCGCCGCCTCCGCCGTCGCCGCCGTCGCTGTCGCTGCCGTCGTCGTCCGCGTCGTCGTCGTCGTTGTCGTCGTCGTCCGCGTCGTCCTCGTTGGCGTCGTCGTCGTTGTCGACGTCCTCGTCGTCCGCGTCGTCATCGTTCTCGTGGTCGTCGTCATCGTTTGTGTCGTCGTCTGTCGTAGTCGTCCGCGTCGTCGTCGTCGTCGCCGCCGCCGCCGCGGCCACCATCGCCTTGGCCACTGCCGTGGTCGTAGTCTTTGCTGTCACCGTCGTTGTCGCCGTCACCATTGCCGCTGCAGTCGACGTTGCCGTCGCCGTCGCCGTCGTCGTCGTCATCGTCGTCGTTCTCGTCGTCGTCGTCGGCTTTGTCGTCGACCTCGTCGTTGTCGTCGTCGCCGTCGCCGTCGCCGTGGCCGCCGCCGTCGCCGCCACCGCTGTCGCCGTTGCCGCCGTCGCCGCGGCCGCCGCCGTCGCCCTCGTTTTCGTCGCTGTCGCCGCTGCGGCCATCGCCACCGCTGCTGACGTCGCCGTCGTCGTTATCGTCGTCATCGTCCTCGTCGTCTTCATGGTCCTCGTCGTCTCATCGTCCTCGTCGTCCTCGTCGTCGTCGCCGTCGCCGTCGTCGTCATTGTCCCCGTCGTCCTCGTCGTCGTCGTCGTCCTTGCCGTCGTCGTCGTCGTCGTCGTCGCCGTCGTCGTCCTGGTCTTCCCGCCGTCCTCGTCGACCTCGTTGTCGTCGCCGTCGTCGTCCTCGTCCTTCTCGTCGTTCTCGTCGTCGTCGTCGTCGTTGCAGCTGCTGCCGCCGTCGCTGCGGTCGTCGCCGCCGTCGACGCGGTCCTCGTCGTCATCGTCTTTGCCGTCGATGTCATTGTAGTCGTTGTCGTCGTCGCCGTCGTCGTTGTCGCCGTCGTCGTCGTCGTCGTCGCCGCCGTGTCCGCCGCCGCTGCCGTTGTCGTCGTCGTCCGCGTCGTCCTCGTTGGCATCGTCGTCGTCGTCGTCGGCGTCGTCGTCTTTGTCGTCGTGGTCGGCGTTGTCGTCTTTGTTGTCTTTGTCGTCGTCGGCGCCGTCGCCATTGCCTTTGTCGTCGCCGCCGCTGCCGCCGTCGCCGTTGCCGTTGTCGTCGCTGTCGCCGCTGTGGCCGCCGTCGCCGTCGCCGCCGCCACCGCTTTCGACATCGTCGTCGCTGTCATCGTCATCGTCGTCGTCGCCGTCGCCGGTGCAGTCGTCGTCGCCGTCGCCGTCGCCGCCGCCGCTGTGGCCGCCGCTGTCGTCGTCGTCGTCGGCGTCGGCGTCGTTTGCGTCGTCGTCCTCGTCGTCGTTGAAGTCGTCATCGCCGGCGCCGCCGCCGATGTCGCCGCGGTCGTCGTGGTCGTCGTCGGCGTCGTCGTCGTCGTCGGCGTTGGCGTCTTTGTCGTCTTTGATGTTTTCGTCGCCATTGTCGTCGCAGTCGCCGTCGTCGTCGCCGTCGTCGTCGTCGTCGTCTTCGTCGCCGCTGCGCTGTCGCCGTTGCCGTTGTCGTCGCTGTCACCTCTGTGGCCACCGTCGCCGCCGACACCGCTGTCGACAGCGTCGTCGCCGTCGCCGTCGCCGTCGTCGGCGTCGTCGTCGTCGTCGTCGTTGAAATTGTCGTCGCCGTCGCTGCCGTTGCTGCCGCCGCCGCCGTCGCCGCGGTTGTCGTCGTCGCCGTCGTCGTCGCCGTCGCTTTCGCCAGCGCCGCCGCCGTCCTCGTCGTCGTCGTCGTCGTCGTCGTCGTCATCGTCACCGTCGTCGTCATCGGCGTCGGCGTCGGCGTCGGCGTCGTCGTCGGCGTCGGCGGCGGCGGCGTCGTCGCCTTCGTCGTCGTCGTCGTCGCCGTCGCCGCCACCGCGGCCGCCCTCGCCGTCGCCGTCGCCGTCGCCGTCGCCGTCGCCGTCGACGTCGCCGCCGCCGTCGCCGCCGCTGCCGCTGCCGCCGCCGCGGCCGCCGCTGTCGTCGTCGTCGTCGTCGGCGTCGTCGGCGTCTCGTCGTTTGCGCCGTGCTCGTTGTCGTTGAAGTCGTCTTCGTCGCCGCTGCCGCCGCCGCCGCCGTCGCCGCGGTCGTCGCCGTCGTCGTCGTCGTCGTCGTCGTCGCCGTCGCCGTCGCCGTCGCCATCGCCGTCGCGGTCGCCGTCGCCGTCGCCGTCGCCGTCGCCGTCGCCGTCGCCGTCGCCGTCACAGATGCCGTCGCCGCCGCGGCCGCCGTCGCCGCCGCCGCCACTGCCGTCGTCGTCGTCGTCGTCGTCGTCGTCGTCGTCATTGTTTTCGTCGTCGTCGTCCTTGTCGTCGTCGTCGTCGTCGTCGTCGTCGTCATTGAAGTTGTCGTTGAAATCGTCATTGTCGTCGTCGCCGTCGTCCTACTGCCGCCGCCGTCGCCGCGGTCGTCGCCGTCGTCGCCTTCGTCGCCGTCGCCGTCGTCGTCGCCGTCGCCGTCGCCGTCGCCGTCGCCGTCGCGTTCGCCGTCGCCGTCGCCGTCGCCGTCGCCGTCGCCGTCGTCGTCGTCGTCGTCTTTGCCGCCGTCGTCGTTGAGGTTGTCGTTGAGGTCGTCGTCGTCGTCGCCATCGTCGTCGTCGTCGTTGAAGTCGTCGTCGTCCGGCTGCGGCCGCCGCCGTCGCCGCGGTCGTCGCCGTCGTCGTCGTCGCCGTCGCCGTCGTCACGGCCGGGTCCAGGAGGAGACCTTCGAGGCGAGTGAAGGGGCCCTTGGGCAGCGCGGGGAGGCCCGCGGCCTGCCCGCTGCAGGGTCGCGGGCCAGCGCGGGCGAATTTTTTGGGTGCGACGCGCCGTTGCCTGCCGAGGACGAACACGCCCCCGCTCGCACCGTCGTAGCCACCGCTCGCGCCGTCTTCGTCGTTGCCGTCGTCGTCGTCGTCGTCGTCGTCGTCGTCGCCGCCGCCGTGGTCGTCGTCGTTTTCGTCGTTGCCGCCGTCGTCGTCTTCGTCGTCGTCGTCGTCGTCGTCGTTGTCGCCGCCGTCGCCGTCGTCGCCGCCGTCGTCGCCGTCGTCGTCGCCGGATGAGGAGGAGGATGGGGAGGAGGGGGAGGGGGAAGAGGAGCAGGAGGGGGATGGGGGGGAGGAGGAGGGGGAGCAGGACAGGGACGAGGAGAGTGATGCCAGAACACGCTTCTTGGGACTTCATCACCGCGAATCAATGTAACTGCTGCGCCCTGACAACCCTGAATCGTTCGGACACGTTGTCTCTAGAAGGTTAACCATGAGAGTCCGTGAAACTCTTACACGTGATTAAAAGAATGTGCGTGGCGAGAAGGCGAACGCCACATTTTGAAAGGAACCGCCTCAATCCGTGAAGCTCTTTCACATATTTAAAACGAATGTGCGCGGCGCTGGGGCGAGAACCACATTTTGAAAACGAACCGCCCTCAACCCGTGAAACTTCTTTAGGCATTTAAGACGACTGCGCGTGGCGCTAAGACGAGAGCCACACTTTGAAAACGAACCGCCCTCAAGTCGTGAAGCTCTTGCGAATATGTAAAACGAATGCGCGCGGCGTTGAGGCAAGAGCCACATTTTGAAAACGAGTCGCCCTCAATACGTAAAGTTCTTGCACCTACGTAAAGCCAATGTGCGCGGCATTCGGGTGAGAGCCGCATTTCAAAACCA